TTTCAGAATCATGTCGAATAGGATATACTACTATTACAATAAAAATATAATACAATATAACTTCATAATAATTGAGCTCCCGTGTTGCAGTTGGTAAAAATGTCAGTTTGGATATTAATTTTACTTTTTGCATATTTCGCAATATCTCGAGAGCTTTTTAAGCTAACTGAAAAATGTTTGCCTACAATTATGAAATTCCCTTATCCAAAAATAATTACCTGCAAAGAAAATGTATAGTAAATAATTTTTTCTATGCTAGTCTAAAAAATTATAAAATTAAACAATAAGTTTAATTTCATAATTTTTATATCATATTTAAGAATGTAATTTTACTTGACAAAATATAAAAGTTAAGCGGTCAATTAGTTCCTGAGAAATCGAATTTTAAAACAGCTGTTTACATAAAATTCAATTTTTCAGGAACTATTCGATCAAATTTGGTCAGGTTTTATATTTTGCCACAAATCGTCGGCCTTGTCTGACTACAAATGGTTTGACGCCGCTGCCCTGTGGGATCGGACTCTCGATTCATTCATTCTTCCTCCTCCTTTGCTCATCGACTGAGACATGTGGTGCCATTACTTTTGCATGACTCGGGGCCTTGTGCCAATCGAGTCCCATGGTGGTCTATCGTGCTGCGTGGATTGCTTGAACATAGCGAGGCATCATGAATTTGGCGTATGGGCCAAATTGGCCTGGGTCGCGTCTTAACTCTCCTACCCTCCCTAAAATGCGTTATTCTTGTTTCCGTAGCAGCAGACGACCTCCAATTTTGTGGTGGGGGGAGTTCTTGCCATAGACAAACTATATAACTTCCCGCAAGTTAACATGGAAACAGTAAAATAATTTTTCTCTCTAAAAGAGACCCTTAATGTCTCGTCATACCCTTGGTCAATGAATATTGAATTGCTAAAATTTTACAGATCCTATAATGATGCGTGATATGTCTAAGCTCAGGCCACGTAAACTTAGTGCTGTGTACTTAGTACTAAGTAAATGCTTATACATGCTTTAAAAATCGAATGAACTGCATTAAAATAACTTTTAATTTACAGCTGATCCACCTACGTGTGATGCTAGCAAAGGGGAAGAATATAGCACATGCCACTCACCCTGTCCTCTTACTTGTTCTAATTACAATGATCCTGTAGGTTGTATAGCATCATGTGCAGCAAATTGTGACTGTCCAAGAGGAAAAGTTCGAAGAGAGTCTGATCAACAGTGCATTGATCCTAAGGACTGCTAAATTTGATATTTTTTGTTATCCTTCAATAAAATCATCTTCAAAACCGTTCTACTTAATTTTTTTTCTTACTTACTCAAAATCCTTTACCGCCAACCCTACTCAACCTCTTTTACATCTCTACAAACGTCACTCAACCTCTCTAATAAAATTAGTTGCCCTAGTAAAATTACTGTAATGTACTGACATTACCGCTAAAAAAAAGAACCATAATTCTGGGATTAAAAATCAAAATATACGGTATAATTAAACCATTCATTTGGTAATTTTTCCAGTCACATGAAATTCAAATAGATTTTAATTTCAATCAATTAGTGATTTTATGATCGTGTTATGAGTTTGCTCGGTTTAAAAAATGTTTAAAAAAAATGTTTATACACATTCAGGAGATCGGATACTTGCAAGCGATGTCACGCGGGGGTCAGCAGATTACGACGCTAGCTAGTATCCAATTAAATCTGATTTGAAAATTGATTCAGCTTTATGATAAATAATCTTTATGGCTGTAACGCTAATGTGCTGTGTACAACCACGTGATTAGACACAACCATACAGGCATAACAATACTTTTACTTCGTTACTTGTAACGGAAGTGAAAGTAAAAGTATGTATACTTAGTTACTTTTTTAGTTTAGTACTTTTACTTGTTTTTTCGTTATTTTTGAGGGTAAAGTACAAGTATTTGTAATGAAAATGTCGAAAAAATCCTTTCTTTTTTCTGATTTTTGTAAAAAAAATTCCTCAAAATAATTTTTTTTCGAAATCTTTAAATGTTGTTCTCCAGACAAATCGCTATTTTCTCTTCTTACAACATATTCTAAAAGCCAAGGTCACCAAGCATATACATATCTGGGGGGGGGGAGACATGAAAAAATCGGAAAAAATAGCGATTTCGGTGTGAAACCTGGATCTGAAAGTGCGAAGGTCATCGGATGTCCCCAACCCAATGTCCAGCTATGTCCACACTTATCTTTAGTTTTGTTTGTTTAACCTCCATTTAATCATTTGTGACTATCGCTTCCCCAACGTAAATTGGCGGGAAAGAAAAAAAACACATATTTATTCACAATCCTGAGAGGAATTCCTGTAATAATTACTGAAAAAAATGAAGGAGACGCCACTGACTTGCTTGACACCTAATTTGAACCAATTAAACAATTTAGGATAAAATAAACCCGCTTCTGTTCTGAAAAATAAAAACTAATGAAATATGTGCGTTTAAAGATGAGATGTATGTAATACCTGTCTAAACATTTTGAAAATAAAAATAATGGACTTTTGTTTCCAATTTGATGCTGAAAAGCAACAATGACTGTAAGTAATTATTTTCGAAATATTTATATAAATACATTGAATCATATCTAAATTTGTTTACATCCGTCAAATAAATGAGATAAAATTTGTTACTACTGACTATGGCATGGCATGAATGTAGGGATCTCAAAGAAGCATTCGAATTATATTTCGCGATTTTTAAATTTTACTTTTTTCATTTTCATTGGTAAAATTTATTTCCTGATAATTTCTTTAAAAATTTTGTGCCATAAGCAACCTAAAATTTGCGTTTTGTAAAATATTAATACAACAAAACAAGTTTTTTTCAATGGCGTATACTATATTTAGCGTATTATAATGTTTATTTACTTTTTATTTCTTAATTTTTTTAATTTAAGTAGAAATAAATTGAAAAAACTGAACTTCATGCTAAAAAAACTTTGGTTTAGTAGAGTTGAACAAATTATTAAAATTGGACTTGAAAATTTAGGATTACACAGATAAAAGTATTTCTTAAAATTAAGAAGAAAAAAATGCCCGATTTGGGAAATATTTTGAAGAATTTGTTCTCTATTCGCAATTTTTCCCTGAAAAATTTTTTGTGGATATCCTTGGCTACTAGTACAGCATGCATGTTGGGATTTTAATCATTAACTGTCTTAAAATTTTTATCCCATCTCAATTATTTTTAAATATGGGCATTGGTACATCAAGAATAAATATTTTCAATGTTAATTGTATTGCTATTGAAATTAAATGCGTGCCTAAATGAAAACAGCAACTAACGTTGAAATTTCAATTGTTTCATTCTAAGCATTGAAATTTCTCGACAAAATATTTTAAAGTAGTTTCGTGTTTATTACATTGGCCCTATTATTAGTGCTAAGAAGAATTTATTTTCGTTTCATTCATGAAATTATAGATTTCAAACTTCATCGCTACTATTTATTATTATAATTATTTTCGTAAGTATTTTTGAAACCTTAAGAAGAAATGCATCCTCAAACATTCGCATTGGTTACCCTTACATTAAGTCACAGAAATAATCATCAAAACTTCTTTATCTTAAAGTTATACCCTACAAACGTAGATTCAAAATTTGATTTCTCGGAAACTATTCGACCGATTAAGTTCGAATTTTGTATTTTGTCATTTAAAATGGGATACTTTAAAATTTGTAAAAATTTCTTATTCCGAATCAATCAAATTTTTTCGGTCATTGCTTAATAAAATAATAAATATTTGTCAAAAAAAATTTTTTTAACGGAATTATCTTCAGATAATTAAATTTTATAGCAGTGAGTAAAAATTTCGATTATCTAGTTCTCGAGGTATGTCGAAATAGGCAGACATTTAAATTAACATTACGGTGTTCAAACTTTTTCTAGCTCTCCTGCTTAAACTAGTGGGATTATATTTCTCAGATTACTGCTAACTCATATTTTGAATTTCAGAAATACAGGCTCGTCGAAAAAAAGAATGTATATTCAGAGTAAGTACGTTTTTATACCTAATTTCGTAACTTCAAAAATCGTGTCTGCACTAATTAGCTAGCACATTTAAGGTTAAGACATAAACCGCCGATTGTGAGGATTTTCTTAAAAATAAGAAATTCAGACTAAGTGAAACCTTCGTAAGTTGTCCATTGGGAATACGTTACTTTTGTGGTCATTTTTGACAGGTAATCTAGTAATAGAAAGGATGAGTCAATGTTTTTATTATTTCTTACGAGTATATAATTGTATTCATCTTACCAATAAAAGTACATACATGCAAAATTAAATTTTGTAACATGGCTTGTTTGTGGCATTAATATATGACAATTATCAGAATTTATTGCAATTTGTTTCATAAATTTAATATTAAACTGTTTTTTTAAAGGAAATGTTGGGTACATTGTTTTATAGAATTAAGGAACCTTTAAATATATTTTCTTTCAGCGTCTTCAAAAAAATTATTTTAATAGATATCTAAAAATGAAAATTTCAATCAAAGATAATCAAAGGTCAAAAATAAATAAGAATAGAATATATTAATACGCAAATGTTGCTTGAGCAAATAGAGTAATTTTTTTTTTTTAAAAAAATTTAAGTGACATTTGATGCATTTCTTATAAACTCATTGGATATTAAAAAAAATAAAGAAATTTTATGCTTTAATGCAGAATGTTATACTTTTTATTCCACCCAACCAATCAGGAATAACTATAAAATATAACTAAATGATTGATTGTAAGTAAAGGTATTTGTAAGTAAATATAAGAAATAAAAAAAAAAGTTAGCAAAATGTACTCAACAATATGATTGCCATAAAAAATCGAAGAAAAACTTTTTGAAACAACTCACGAAATCCAACGATCTCATAAAAAGTTGTAATGACAAAGAATTGATGAAATATAAAGCAGAGAGCAGAGTCAATAATTTTTTTTTTAAATCAAGGTTACGTACGTTTTTCCAGCTGTTTTCAATAGCTTTTATACCAAATATAAGCATAATTTACTGTAGAATTTCATGCAAAATATTTCCGATTAAAAAATAAACTTCAGAATATCTTTTTAAACTTAACAAGATGAAAGCTTTCGTTTTTTTCTTCACATTGGCTGTTGCTGTTGCAGTATGCCAAGGTAAGCTAAACTTTTTATTAAAAAAAAACTCATGTAGAAATTTATTAAAGATTGGTTATAAAACTATTTATTTAAAGTTTGAAATAAATTTTTGAAACATTCTCTTGAGTTTTGTGTGTTCTTATGACATTTATAAGAAAAAAATATTGTGTTTGAATATTGACAATTTATTACGTTAATTTGTTTACTATTAGTTTTACACTTTAAAAAAATTAAAATCAAAATTAAAAACAAAATATTCAATTTACTTAAAACAAAGTAGGATGAATAAAATAAGTACATTGAGTTTTTCTGGTTTTGTTTTTGAGACACGTTTCTTTTTTAAAGCTTTGAAGAATTTCAAGTTTCAGCATAATTTGAAATTAAATGGGAGGAAAGAAAGGAAGCTGTAAGTTTTATCTAACCTTCTAATTCGGATGCAAACATACATCCCCCTTCAAAAGGTTGAACGAGAATTAATACTTTTTTTAAATGGAGCACAAAAAAAGACCATGGGGCAATAGTTTTGATCATAGCTCGAAATCTATACCATTGAACTATTTTCTTTTAATATCTATTGCCTGCATTTCGATTTTGTTTTTAAAATCTAACTTAATTTAATTTTGATTTTGGATTATTATCGTATATTTCTGAATAGGCAGAGAAGCTTTGGAAAAAGTGCGAATCCTTAAGTCGCTTATAATCGGGCTGCTAACTTTGCATTCACATAAAGGCTCACGCAAATCATATAGATATATAAAATGACGCATTCCATACTTTTCTAATCATATTGCTTCAAACATTAAAATGTGCAAAAAGTATATAGAAACACATAATGTTATGCCATTTAATTTGGAAAAAAAATTTTGAAACGATTTTTATCCAAAAATTATAAACTAAAAAAAACAAAATAAAGAATGCTTACGATTAAAAATTCCTGACATTGAAGTAAAAAACTTTCATATTGTTTCTTTTTTTTTTTAGTCTTAAAGAATCAGACGTAGAAAACTTTTCTGTCGAGAACGGAAAACATCCGTTCTTCAAATTAGAAAAAAAAATTCTTTTTAACAAGTAAATTTTTTAAAAAATTATAGCACTTACTTGCCTTATAAATCCGGAGAATTCCAGATAAAATTATCTTCGTTTGAAAATTTTATTCTCAAACAATAAATACATAAATAATCCCTACATTACTTCTAAATCACATACCACACCACAAAATTTTATAATTGTAAGATAGCGATATGAATTTCAATATGTCACTTAAAAACAGAATAGCTGGAAATTAATCATTCAAAATTAAGAAAATACTTACCAAGAAAACAATAAATATTTATTAATTTTCAACACAAAAGATACTATTTCAAGTAGTTCGGATAATTCTCTACTGTTGTTTTCCGAATTATATAGATACAAAAATATGTACTATTCTACAGAGAAGAAGAATATTCTATAACTATTACTGTTCTGCACGCTCTGAAAATCATATTTATTCATTGGAATAAAGTAAGCAATGCTGACTTCGCTTTTGCAATGAATTAAAGACTGAAAAATAAGTTATTTTACCGTAATGCACACATCTATAACAGTATGCTATCACGAAATCGGAAGCCATCCGTTGCAAGTTTGCTGATAATAGAAGTTAAAAAGTATTCAGAAATTGTTATTCAAATGCTTGGCTTGTTCGGTTTCAGAACGATTTACCAATGCTCTAGGTAGTTTTTTCAGGTTCTTCTGCCTTTTCTTTAGGGAAATTTTGTTCTTATTTGCTGCTAAGAAATGGCGTCTTGCTCTGTCAATGATTCTGATAGAACTAAATGAAAACTTAATAGTTAAAAGCCTGAAAATAAACTAACCTCTAGAGGGCGTACTCGAGCGTTGAGATCCCGAATCGGTGGAACACTTAATGAGTTTTCATTTTTAAACAAAAGATAAACCAGTAAACTAAGATATATTCCGGAAAGGAAGTTCTAGCTCTTCACAAAGATTGCTTGTCGATTTTTTTTACGTCGACTATTAATAAGTATTAAATTTGGATAAATTTTCAGAAATTCGAGAAAAAAAATGTGTTTAAAGACCTAAATAAATTGAAAGGAGTTTATTGTCAACTATTTTAGACAAGGTGAAGTTTTAATCGGTAATGAAATTAGATTGGTTGTTTAAATTTCCCTTTCCTCAATAGAGATTCCACAGATTTTGGCAAGACTTTTTTTTCCCTCGTTAAATCTTAATTTTTCAGTTACTTTCTAAACCTGGACATTTTTTTAAACTTGTTTTAGAGGGATTCTGAAAATATATGCTGCATACATTATCCTATACATATAATAGAATAAAAGTGAGTGTATATGCGTCTGTATACCGGATTGCGGGTAAACGGTAGACTCTAAGAATAAGAAATTCAACGTGAGGCTGAATGAGTACAATTGGAAACATTTTACGAAGTCGATTCTTGATTTTTAATAAGATTTTTAAATTCAGACAAATTGAAGAAATGAAATTTTCTCATTGGCTTAGCGGAAGCCATTGTTCCAAAATAATCTATAGACGATACAGTTTTGTCAATATTTATATATTTAACCAAAATTGTAACACTGTGAACAATTCCTTATCAATTCTTTATCAATTTACGGTAAAAAGTACTGGCACACTGACAGCATCTGTAAAATCAATTTTCCTGCAAAACGTTTTATTTTGTTATTAAATTTTATTTTTTTCATTTATAGTAAATTGTTATTAAATTAAAAATTTTATATTTTGCAATTAAATCCAGTAAAATTTTATTCCGCATTTTTTACAATAATATTCATTTAATTACGAGGATACAGTAATTTGACAATAAATATTACTGTAAAAATTACGCTACATAAGGTTTTTATTCCTTAATTAGAGTGATTCAGTGATTTTATGAAAATTATTAGTGTAAAAGTCACGGTATATTAGATTTTTTTGCTTCGTAACATGTTTCGGTAAAAATACATTTTACGGTACAAAGAATTGGCACACTTAACACCGGTACTCTTTATCGTTATTTGATCCAAAAATATTTACAATGACGAAGCAATCCACATTAGTAACTTTTGTACTTAAAAAAAAAGTATAAAATATATTATTTATAAGGTATGCATCCTTTAAAACTTGAGAAAATAATAAACTCCGTTCATTCTATTTATTTTAAAAATAAATTGCTTTCAAAAATTTTATTTACTAGCTTTCAAATACAATTTTATCACATCAAAAGATGGTTTCAGCAGGTTTTGGAGATTCCATTCTTCCAGTTTTGGTATTAAAAAGCGACTGATTTTATAATCGAGTGATTTTATTAACGGTAGCCACTGAATTATTTTATTTTATTAAAAATTAAAATAATTATTCGCTATAGAACAGCACGCACAGTGAGTCGGCTAACTTTTAGAAAATTACTCTCACCATACAGATTGTAATTGGATATTCTGTAAGTCATTCAGAAATAGAGCTACACTTAACGTTCTAAACGAAAAAAAATTTCTTATTATTATTATTATTTTAATGAAATGATGTTAATTCTCTAAGTTATGTGAAAAATTATTATTGCAGCTGAAAAACAGAAATGTGATGAAAGCAAAGGTGAAGAGTTTGGCACCTGTTACTCAGCTTGTCCTAAGACTTGTTCCAACTACAAAGATGAATTTCGTGCCTGTACCATGCAATGCGTCAAAGAATGTGGATGTCCGAGTGGAACAGTTCGAAGAGAATCTGATCAACATTGTGTTAAACCTGAAGAATGCTAACGTTTGCATATTCTGATGCTTTTCAATAAAACTTTTCTGTGTTTAGTTTCATTCATACACAATTTAGTTCTCAATGCAGGATGCTGCGAGAAAAAAAAACTTGTCAAACAGTTTTTAATATAGTAACTTTATTGAAAAATAAATAAATTAACAAAATATAGCAATAACATTAGACTTTTACTAAAAAATAAATTTAATTGCTTAAGTCAGTGTTTCCCACAGTGTGGTACGCGTACCCTCAGGGGTACGGGAACAGTTTAGGCGTGGTGCGCGTTCTTATGCGAAATATCTTGCAAAAACAAAAATTCAAAACATTTTACTTAAAAACAAAGCTAGCCATCAAAATTTACGACTACGTATTTTTCTATTGACTATTTTTTGCGAGTTAGCAGTTAATAATTAGTGGTGTCAACAACCAGTAGCGATTTTTAACTTTTGTGAAATTTGTTTATGGTAAAAAATACTTTAAATTTTTTTATGGTAAAATATACATTTATTTTTTTATTAGTGGTACACAGCGTTACAAATATTTAGAAAGGGTACACAAAAATCCTAAGTTTGGGAAACACTGGCTTAAGTGGTAGTCTTTTGCAGCGATGCAGTGGTGCAAATGCTTTTTGAAATCTTCAGCAATGGGTCGCAAGTCTTTAATTTCAATCTACCTCATTCCCACTGTAACGACTCCTTTAGAAAGTCCAAATTTTTCTGTACAGAGCAAACAATCGATTTCCTTGTGTAAGCAAATCTAAAACAGCAGGAGTCTTTTACTTGATATTTTATAATTTTAAGACTGACGCTGAACAGTCAAACTAATTTTGAGTTTTGGACTACCGATGTTCAACTCCGTTGCTTTGTAATTTTGAACCCAATTCAGAAGACAAGGAAATTCCCGGATCAAGTATTGGAAGAAATTTGGCTTCGTGGAGGACTTTTTGATTGCCCTTACGTCGCATGGAGAGAAAAACCATGAAAACCTACCACAGCTCATCTGACGTTAAGGCAACTCTAACCCATGATCCATCTACCGTTGAAGATGTTTTACGTCAGCATTGTGGTTGGTGCGAGGCAGGTGCGAAAATTGCATCAAACAGACATCGTTTGGATTCGAACCCGGGAAACCTCATTAGGAGGCAAGAGCTCTATCCCCTGAAGTGAATAAAGTGAAAAACAATACTTAAACTAAGAGATATACTATAAAGTGTTTTACAGATAAAGTGCTAGACAAAAAAAAAAAAAAAAAAAAAAAAAAAAAAAAAAAAAAAAAAAAAAAAAAAGAACGCATAAATTAAAAGGAAATTAGTAAATTTTTATTCCATTATGCAAATACTTTGTCAAAGTTTCTTTTTTCGCCATGCCCTGTAATGAGAATTCCTACTCCATGAAGTACTCATTTTTTTAATATAATTCTTATTTTATTTCGAATTTACAGAAGGGATATTTTTAAAATAATATATGATAATAAAAAGATAATGTTTTCTAATGAACACTACCGTAAGAATGATTCATTATCTGAAAAGAAATATGTTAATTTTTATACATACTTGTTATCGAAGTGATAACAGTGGCTTATTGTCTTAGTGTTAATAGATATTTAACATCTTACAAGCTATGATTATCATTTCAACGTTAAAAGATAATTTCTAATTTAATCTTGCGTATTTGGTGCGATTCTTGTATGGGTTGTTAAACCATATTTTCTTTTAAGCCAAGTTTTAGTATGGTGCAATCAAATGTAAGAATGTCAAATTTACAATCTACCATGAATCAGTGTTAATATTTGTTTGGGAATTTTTTTTTGTAGGATTGAAGTTAAGTCAAATTAGATTGAAGATTGAAGTTACGTCAATTTTACAATGTTACTATGAATTGAAAAGTCTTATTCTTAAAAAGACATAAGTAGCCAAGAACAAATTTTTTTAAATAAGGAACCACTAAACAAAAATCTTCATGGAGGTAATAAAACAATACTTATAGATCGTCAATATTTTATAGTACCGTATAAAATATTGACGCAATGTGAATCATAAGAGTCTATTTGCTTTAATCTTACATTGCACTCTTCTCTATAAGGCACTTACTGTAATGAGTTTCATCACTACCTGATAACAAAAACAACATTTAAAACAGAGAAAAATAATTTAAGTAATCACTTAGATAATCATGAAGTTACGATAAAGAAGTTTTAAAACATGGATTTTGGGTAGTTTCTTCCACCATGGATTAAACTTAGAATATTGAACGATGTATCTATTCGAAAGATTACTTGAAACAGCAAAAATTGAAATTTTTCTTTTGAAAACAATAAGTTTATTCAGAATACTAAAAAGAAGAAGGAAAAAATTGTTTTAGCAGATCTAAAACAAGAAATGTTGAATGAGTAATTTTTTCAAGTTAGAAAATGCATCACTCCCAAAATCTTTTAAAAGTAGCGCACCAAACGATTACCGTTTCAGGTCTAAAAAATATAATTATTTATTATTTTAAAAATATTTGAAAATGTAGTTTTTAACTAATTATTTAAATGTAATTTTCTTAAAATTTTATTTTATTTTTTCTACTCCTTAGTTTTGTGTCCATTTGTTTGTTTAGGTTTTGAAGAAAAGAACTTCATTGAGAGTCTGATTAAAATTGTGTTGATCCTAATGATTACTATGCTTGGCATATTTTGACATTTTTCAATAAAACCATTTCAAAATTGTCGTAATTAATGTTTTTCTACTTACTCAATATATTTTCATAATATTAATACATGTAGATTCAGACAATTGAACAAAAATATAGTGCAATATGTATTCATATCTTTCAATAAAACTAATTTCAAAATAGTACCTTTCAAATAATATATTATTGAGTAACAAACAGGGTACAATATGTACTTGTACACTGAGAAAAAGGGATGGTAAAAAATACCAGAGTATGAAAAATTGAAAATTTGTATGAAATTTTGGTAATATTTAACGTGTTTCTGCCTCGAGAAGAGCGCCAGAAAGTTCGGTAAGTGCTTTGGTAATGATTTTGGTAAAATTAGAAATAAAAAAGGGTTTTATAATATAGGATAAAATTTGTTGAATGTGGTAAAATTTGGTAATTTTATCACATTACCCAATGGCATGATTTGTTAAAAACATTCTTGTTGGTTGTTTAAGCATAGATTTGAAAGCTTTAAAATAAAGCAGGTTTTTGATGATTTTGAACCCTTTTCTTTTAAACATATCTGATGATGACATCAGGTTTCAAAATCCTCTTTTTTTCACTAAAATTTAACGCCTATAAATTTTTATATTATAAGAATTTTTCATGACGTCATTTATGACAAGGGACTGTTTTTACTTCGTTTTCTTTCCATTTTTACCTTGTTTACAAAAGTTCAGCATAAAATTCAAAAATAAATCAAAATACAGAAATGCAACAGAGTTTTAAACAGCTTGTTAGTAAGCTTATTACACTATGCAGGAAGTGCATTTTATATTAAATGAACAGCAGAATAAAGAAATTTAAATGCAATTTATGTCGTTTCACCTGTCCTAAGATATTATCTTTGTCATACGTCAACTATTTAAAGATACTGGTTACGATTACAACTCAGTATAAATGTGTTAGAAGTTGAGCAATAGACACTTAAAAATAAAATATCAGATTGAGTTATATTTTTCTCAAGATGAGAGTTTTCATTTTGTGCGTCGTTTTGGCTACAATAATCGGAGCATGCCAAGGTAAGCAGAATCATTTGTATACAAATTATATTATTTAAACTGAAAAAACTACCGATAAGAGTAATTTTGACAAACTTTAGTACGTCTCATTATAGAGAATGTACAGTGCGCAAAATAAAGAAAATGGACCACTCTGAATAACTTTTGATCTATTGATCGGATCTTCACGTTTTAGAACTCAATCTTAATGGTTCGAGGAAGTGAGCTCAATTACGCAAATTAGTTAGTTCAGACAATATTTTAAGTTACAAAATCAGACACGAAAACGTACTTTTGCTGAATAAATATATCTTTTTTTTTCCCGATCGATTCGGATTTTTCACTCCCAAAATATAGGGGTAGCCGTGATCTCGGAAATATGTTCCCAATAGTTTTGTCTGGAAAGTGGTCCAAAGTTTGGACCCCTTAATGTTAATTTCACTTTTTACGAATTTCACCATGTCTCGAGAACTATTTTAGCGAATTAAAAAAAAATTCCATACGATTTTACAATTTGTTCATCCAAAGATAATTCCATGCAAAAAATAACTTTTAGTAAGTATTATGTCTTTTTAAGAATTTTATTTAATAATAATCGAAAAAAATTTTGAACTGTAAGGTATACATTTTTTACATTATTTTAAATAATGTAATTTTACATAACAAAATACGAAATCTTTAACACGCACTTTTAGCTACATCCAGTTTTCAAAGCTGTACCAATTTCTCAGACGCGTATTTTGAGTATTAACTATGCTCACTTGCTGGTTAAAAATTTTGACACTACCTTTAATATTCTGTTCAAATACTACTGGAAGAACAAAATCAAATAATTTTGAATTGCTCTCTTTACCGAGATATCAGAATTTTCCAATATCTATACCAAACAAGCCATTTTTGATTGTTTAATAGATTCCCAATCAAGAGTCCGTTTAGAGTCCATTAAATGCTCCTGGAAGCGCAAAATCAATTTTTAAATACACTCACTTTACTTGGGATATCAGAATTTTCCAAAAACTATACCAAACACGACATTTTTGATTGTTTAATAGATTCCAAATCAAGAGTCCGTTTAGAGTTCGTCAAATACTACTGGATGCGTAAAATCAAATCATTTTAAATTACTCACTTTATTGAGATATCATATTTTTCCAAAAACTATACCAAGCAAGTCAATTTTTCATTGTTCTAATAGATCCCAAATCAAGGGTCCGTTTATTTAAATTGTCAAGATTTGCAGCTTTAAAATTCCAATAAATTAAGGAGAACAACAGAATGATGACTTTGGGACTAAAACTTGAGTCACGAGACTCTTCAATGAAATTGCTTAACTTACTTTGTCTTGAAATTGGATTCATTAATAATATCAATCTTCAAACTTTTGAAAATACTTAGCACTACAATAGACAAGATAACAACAATAACAACAAAAATGTTATTTAATCTTTTAACCTTTGTCTCTAAACCCTATAATTTTTTTTCTGTTTGTATTTATTCTCATTTGTTTCTTGAATTTCTAACTTTACTTCCTTGACATATTCAAATAAAGTTTAGTGCGTTGTGTACTACGCTTTTTGTCCTCTGGGGCAGAACAACGAGATGCATGTCTATGTATACATATTTTGACTCAATATGTAACATGATGTTTGAAAACATTCCAACATTTCATCTTTATTCATTAAAGGATGGAGCCATGATCGATCCCGTGACGCATGTAGCATTATGCAAATCGCACTCAACCGTGCTTTGCCATGTTTGTCAGTGTTTAATAATCACCCGCAAAGATTTTATCTGCAATTACATAACAGTTATGTGATCTACATATCTAAGAATATCAGAAGACAGAATTATTTTTTTCAAGAAAACTGATATTGTAATGTTTTAATTGCAGCTCAGAAATGCGATGCCAGCAAGGGGGAAAGATATAGTGACTGCAATTCAGCCTGCCCGAAAACTTGCTCCAATTACATGGATACTGGTACATCTTGCATCCAAATATGTGTGAAGGGATGTGGATGTCCTGGAGGAACAATCCGAAGAGAGTCTGATCAACATTGTGTTGAACCTTCACAATGCTAAAATATGCATATTTTGATATCTCAAAATAAAGCATCGTATCTTAAGTTTTGATTAAGATTCTTTTTTTACTCACTCAATATTGCAATTAATCTTACTAGGAAATAGCACCACACAGTTAGAAATTGCTTGGAAAAAATGGTTAAATAACAATTTATTATTTGTTAATTTACCCTTTTAAAAAAACTGTTAATTGTGAGAAAAACAGTTTATTAACAACCAGTATTCTACCGACCCAACCTATTGATTCCACTAAGTTTCTTGCATCTAGGTACATATTAAAGCCTAAAGAGCCAATCTGACAATCTCATAAGTGACAGAACGGTGGTTCGAGTACCCGTATTGACACTGCAATAGTTTCTCCATTCTGTTCAGCACAGGAAAAGTTTCCAGTGTCTTCCACTCCCCAATGTGTGACCATGGGTTATTAGAATACGATACTCTCATTCACACATAGATGGCAGCACCATAAAGCTGCTTAGCACAAAAAAGTCTAGTATTTTCCATCGCTTACAATAAGAGAAACAACTAGTTAAACTATTTAAATCACATTTCTTGGTTTATTTGATAAAACACAATTCAATCGCCATTTCACTCTATTATATATTACCAAACTAAAAGCCTAACTCCAATTGTCCAGCTAAATTTAATTTTTTAGAGTGTTGAAACCATGTTAGTTGTCAATAGTTAAAAAACCGCATAAGTTTGAATTCTAGTTGTACTAGTTGTAAACATTTTCAAAACTCTAAAAGGGAAAAACATTCCTTACCGTACATTTTACAGTTAATTGGATCAACAGATTGTTGCTGGCTATTTTACCGTAATTTTAGGATAAAAATTTTAACAATGCAAGTGTATAAATTTTAATGTAAAATAAACTTTGAGACATTGAATTCAGATAGGTACATAGTATCTCATTAAGTTTAAAATTTCTTTAATGGTTTTTAGGTCATACAATTAATATTAAATTCCAAATACGGAAAGAGCAGAAGCGAGTTTTCTGATAATAAAGTTTAAAATTTAAATCCTATGTGAAAAAAACTTAAATTTAAACTGTATCCTAATAAAAAAAAATATTTTCCTTCATTGTGATTTTTTCCTAAATTAATTTGTTATCCATATGACTTTTAAAACTATCTAGAAAAATAACGTGAATTGTAAACTTACGTTTACATATACCTCGGAATCAGTCGATTAATACTTGTTTTATAGCTAGGCTGGTTACACTTAATGCTAGGTTTTTGTTAAGAATGTAAATTTACGTAGTAATAGACTAAGTGTGGTAATAGACGCCCGGTGGCTGAGTGGTAGCACATTGCGCTCTCGTGCCACAGGTCCTGGGTTCGATCCTTGGGCCGGGCAAAGCTGAATTAGCTTTTAATCCCTTCAGTGGGTCGATAAATGAGTACCAAGCATGCTTGGGAACTAAACACTGGGGATTCCGTGTTCGGCTGACCACCTGACTGGAACATCTGCTCCTGCACCCCAGAGCTTAAGGTCAATAAAACTGAGATGGGCACAGGCCCTGGCCCTCTGTGGGTTGTCGCGCCACTGAGTTTAGTTTAGTTTTAGACTAAGTGTATTGAATGGAAATATTGTTGAAATTATGCACAAAAAAAATTATCATGGAAAAGTTAGACTATATCAGAGTATGTGTTTGAACTATTTTCTTTTTTAACGTTATGAGTAGGGGAGAGTGGGGTCAATTGTAACATTTTTTACTTAACTATTTTTAACTAACAAAAAATCCAATATATTATTAGTATTAATTGACAGACATGTAAAATAGACAATCCTCTACTAGAAAAAAAAAATAAATACCTAATTTTAAATGTTATTATATTAGTTATTAACAATTTTTGACAGTCGTGCTCTTGTTACAATTGTCCCCACTTACGGGGTCAATTGTAACAGTTCATAAATTCAACTAAAACATAGTTAATTATACATAGTATCATAGTTGTGATATATTTTTTTATTGATCAAAATAGTAGTGATATTTTAGGAGTGAAAATAATAATGAGCAGAGACCTAAAGGGTTAAACTTTTAACTTTAAGGGAAGCAAGACGTTTTCGATGTCGAAAAAATGATTTTTTCAACCTTATCGACAAGCCATTTTTTCTTAATATTAAATACAATTTAAAACTTTAAACTTTACATTTATGACAACTACATATTAATGTAATTCAATAACAATAAAAAGGAATTTAAAATGTTTATAAATTTAATTTTTATAAATGTTTGAAAATTTAATGTATATATAATTTTTTTTTAACCAGACTTAGCTTTCGGTACGCTCAAAAAATTTTCTACATGAAATATCAACAAAAAATTGGCATACACTCAAGTAAATATGTTTGAAAAATCAGGTGAAATAGTTTGTTTCATAATATGTACAGAATATATTATATATAAGCAAAATAAATGTAGTATTTCTGAAAAAAATGCAAAATTTCGTTCAAATTTTGAAAAACTTCCCCTGTATAACAAAATTATAATGAAAAAAATAAACTTTATATAGTTAATTAAATGTAAATAAGGTATATGTACAAGCATAGAAATTTTCATAACTTTACAATGATTTGTTTTTTGTACGAGCGTACCGAAAGTTATGTCTGGTAAAAAAAAANGCTTTTATTTTAAATTACTTTATTAAGTTAAATTATTTAACCCCTTCCTTCTTGCTCCCGTGAAAATGACGGGGTGAGGTTTCGCCCTCTATTTCTCGCTCCCGTGATATTTCCGGACTGGAGTGTTCAGTAGTAACGTGCCAATAAGAATAAAACTAATTCGTTTCTTTTGCCCGGAAAACATTTTATTTCTCATTTTACACGACAGATCTCAGTACAAAGATATTATTAAGGTATTTGTAGATTTTTGCAGCTCCAGAATAAATGAAAACAATAAGAGATGTTGGAAGGAAACTCATTACTACTGTCCAGATTGTGACGTTGGCCTCTGTATCTCTTGCATTGAAATTTATCACACAAGAAATAATTACTAATATTTATTTATATTATACGTAAGTTTAATAAAATTCCTTTTTAATGTTTAAAACACAGTTTTTTAAAATTTTCCTTCTTTCTGGAAAACCAACATTAAGTCATAGTAATCCTAATTCAAAAATTAAATCAAAAATTAAAAATGAATATATATATTGTTCATACACATGTTTTTATATACTTTTCAGGGATAAAAAAAAAGGTTACTTTTATGACCGTTTTCTTGAAAATTTACCGTTAAGGGGTTAAAATGATCTATAAACAGGGAATGCGTAAGCAAAAGGAATGTGTAAGCAAAATTTTTCGAATTGATTGACAAAAAAAGAAAAGTTAAAGATTCCATGCAGTAATGAGTTTCCACCTTGCAAATTTGAACGCCTTGAAAAGTTTACTTACTCTTTTTTGAAAAAATAAAAAAATAAAGAAGAATAAGGCTTTTCATCGTCGTAACGATCGTAATATGTCGTAATGAGTTGCAATGAGTTGCAATAAATTACATATTTTTAGCTGGTGCAATACGAGATTTACATTTGTTTTGTTTATTCAAGGATCATAATTAAAGTAAGTCCTTAAATGATTTCCTTTAAAACAATGGATAGATTTCAAAATAATTTGTAATATCCTCCTAGAATAGTACATTCTAATCTTGAAACAGTGGTATGTCATTAATCATACAGATTTTGAATTTTAATCATACAGAGTATTAGATAATTCTAATACTGATAAAGTAAATTGATGCATTTAAATGATATTTAGGATCACTAAAATAACCTTATATAAGTGGCCAAAACTTTCAAAATCTCATTATATGTTTATATTGCAGTTCAAAAATACTAAACAGCTAGATTACAGTTAAAAATTTATTAACTAAGATTTATTACCTACTAGAAAATGCGATTTTTTTTTGCTTTACTATTATTTTCACTATTGATGATTACCATTATTCAAGGTAAGAAAACAATTCATGATTAATGATGTAATTTTGATTCGAAAGTTGAACTTATTGTTCTTGTCATAACTAATTAAGAAAATTATTTTATTTATTATTAGGGATATCGTAAATCAACTATTTACTGATTGAAATATATCTACCGTTTGCTTATTTTAAGTTAATTTACCGAACGTTCGAATCATAAATGAAATACTAGATTCATAAGATTAGTTCGTAACTTTTAAGTTACACTGAACTAGTCTCTAATTATTCGAAACAAACTGCATGAAACTATATTATAAAATTATAAGTTACATTAATTTATTTAATATCTTGTTTAAGGACCGTTTTAACTAATATCCTATTTAAATGAAATAAAAATTTTAAGAGCTACTTTTTTAATATACTAACACGGGGACAAAAGTTCCATATTTGTTTTACTTAAGATTAAAAGTCTAGAACACGCATCACTTTCGCAAAACGTGTGAAGATAAGATTCCAATGGCGATAGAAGTTAATTATGAAAGTGATGTTTCCGTTTCAGGGGTGACAAAACTAGAATTAATTTCTCCTTTTTAGTCCACTTGAAAAGCGGGATTTCTACAGACGAAAAGTCAAGCATGCATTATTTCCGAAAGAAGATTGGTTTTCAGTAGTGATAGAAGTTAATTACGAAAGGGGTTCCACGTGACAATTTTTTTTTTCAACGACAGACTCTGAACATTCGTTCTTCACCTTGGAAGATGCCAAAGTGTTGCTCATTTAACGTTACCCAGTGGGTGCAAACCACTTTTTTTGTTGTCGTCAGTGGGCGACAGGTTACCGCTAACGTCAAGTGAAAGCGTCCGTTCTAACAAACCAGGCCTTAAGTCACGGAGGTGAGCAACGTTTCCCACGCCACACTGCCACAGTTACCCGTTTATAGGGTGGGATACATTCACGCATCGCACAACAAAGAACGACACACAGAGAGAAACATCCATGCCCTGAGTCGGATTCAAACCGGCCATCTTTAGCTTCACAGTCTGGCACGCTGGCCACTCGGCCACCTGTCGGCATAAAAGTATAGTTAATTATGTCCTTTTAGCTCACTTGAAAAACGTAGTTTTTAAATACGGAAACTTCAGCACGCATCATTTTTGAAAGACGGGTGAGGAGGAGTACTGGGTTTTAGTGATAAAGAAGGTAATTACGAAAATGATGTTTAAGTTTTAGAAAAAAGGAAAAATAGTAAAATTATTTTGAGCGTGTATTTTGAGATACAAAAAGTGTAAGAATCATCACTTTGAAAAAATCCCGAAGGGCGTGGTTTGTTTGCCAAATAACATTTTAAATTTTATTTTTTAACTATATGAAGTAAAGCTATGAACTGAAATAAAAACTTTCTTGCAGCTGAGAAACCGATATGTGATGAAAACAAAGGTGAAAAATTTGATACCTGTCACTCTGCCTGTCCTGTTACTTGTTCTAACTACAAAGATGAAGATCGTGTCTGCACCTTGCAATGTGTAGTAGGATGCGGATGTCCAAGTGGAACAGTCCGAAGAGAATCTGACAAACTTTGTGTAAAATCATCAGAATGCTGAAATTAGCGTATTCACAATTTTATGTAAAACCATACCCTGACAATTTATCTGTGTTTGATTCCTTTTGAACTATTATCATTTATTTTTTTAAGAGCGTAAAAGTTTTACAATAACTCACGAGTTATTATTTTAATGGTTGTTTTTCAAATGTACCATTGTTAAAAATTTTAAAAAGACTGTTGTTTTAAATAAACTCTCCCAGAAAAATTAATTTAACGTTAATGGATACTTTAAGCCTTACTATCGTTACAATTTTCACAAAATAATTCAAATTAATAAATAAATACAAATAGGAGAAAAAACGAAGGAAATAAAAAAAAACAAGTTTTATTTACTGCGCATAGGCTGCAAGTAAATAAAACTCATAAAATAAGATCAAAACATTGAAAAAACATGGAAAAAATGACAGAACAACGAAAAAAGGGAAAAAGAAAAATAACAACAATAAAAATAATAAAATCTAGGAAAGAAATCCGAAAAAAAAGAAAAAAAAATTAATAAAAACCCTGAAAATAAAAGATATAATCTTTTCATCCGCTCACACGATTATACCTGCAAAAAGGAGTGCTTTCTAATATTGTATCAATACAGTCAAAGCAAAATATATCAATACAATAGTGTGAGGAGCACTAAAAAAATTTGCAAACAATTTACTACAAATAAAACAGAACACTTTAAGTAAAAATATCACGCAAAAACAGAAAATAAAATGTAAGGAAAAAACAGAATAAAACATAAAACGAAATCTATAAAGTGAGTAGCGAATTCAAATGAACTTACATGAGCGGGAAATTTTTCAAGAATGATTTAAAATATTTTCGAAATTAGATTGCCAGATTACAAAATATGAAAACGCATATATATGTATGTGTATACATATTTAATTTATTTTTAGAAAATATGAAAAACAATAATATTCCAACTACATTAATAAATTACATTAATAATTACATAAATAAGTACATTAATAAATATTATTTTTGTGATCCCTAATGTGTACACTTTTTTTGACATCAATCTTGAATGTGATTTTAAAAATATGTAATCAATGAAAAATACTTTGTATATCTTTTTTTATACATATAGTTCAATACTAGGCACAGTACAAAGCTTTCAGTTCTTTCTTCAAAATGATTTCAAATTTTTACCATTACATCTTAAAGAGGTTTTATTAATCTTCTTCTAGAAAAAATTTTAAAAATTTCCTTAATTTGGAAACATCAAAAAATAAAGTTAACTAAAGTGGAAATTCAAAGTTCTTTACAATGTTCTGCATTTTCCAAAAATGCAGCTTTTCACTCGAAGTGATCTTTTTCTTTTACTGTTCGTATAATTATGTATTGTTTGAATCATTATGTATTATTTTGTAATGTCCAGCAAAACAATAGGCACATTAGAAAAATTATTTTATTGAAAACTTCATTAAAAATAAAATAAAAAATGCGATGGATCATACCGATTTTTTGTCTACTGATGCAATTAAAATATTTATATTACTAAAAATAAAATTGATTTATTTTAACGATTTTTTTTAAAAATTCAACTTCTATATCGAAGAAAAATAAACTTTTAACTTATTCTCCTAGATATTAATATTTACACCAAAAGATATTCTGAACCAGTAAGTAAAGTATTGAATTGAGATTTAAAGCATTTTGCTTCATTTATTTGCTATAACGAGAAAATGAAATTAATGCTAACTTTTTTGTGCCTTTTTCTTTCATTGCCTATCATCAGTCTAGGTAAAGGTATGTAAGATTACCATAATTTAATTAATTACGGTTGACATTGTATTTGCTCTATTTGCATTATTTATTATAGATAAATTTTAACAATTGAATGAAAGAATTTTTTTTTAATTTAGACTCTTATATATTAAAAAGACAATTAAGTTCCCGCCTTTTTTTTAATTTTTAAGTTTATTTTTTAATTAAAATAACTAAATAATTCAAACATTTTAAATGAACTAAAAAGAATGATTAAAAAAAGCATATTATGTTTTATGTATGGTTAGAAATATCTGCCGGCATTTATACATAATACTAACTATACATCAAGTTTTTTTAAACAATTAAAAAGAAACAGAAAAAAAATTTTGTTATAAAATTTTTTATTAAAAATATTTTTATTCAAAAACAAATAATTAAGTAATTATTGATATATAACAATTAAAAAATTGTTTAATCAAACAAGAATTTTTATCTAAACTGTCAGAAAAAGATTTTTTCTGGGCAGATATCTAAGCTATATTTTCAAATTTCATTTAAAAAAATATAAATAATATTGTATTCTCTATTAGTTATTTAGTTTAACAAAGGTGTATAACACAAACTGACTTCTCACAACTGTAAAACTTCATCAACACAATAAATACCAATGTTAATAATACCAATGTTCAGTAGTTTCGTATACAAACCAGTTAGTATACGAAACTACTAAACTACCAGTTAGTATACGAAACTACTTGTGTTTCAAAATCAGTAGCTATGCCAGCGCCATCAATACAGTTTCTCGTTTCAAAATTTGCAAGCACAAGAAATTCGTACTTTTTTTTAAATATCTTGTTAACAATGAAATAATGTATCTTGAAAGAAAATAACAAATGAAAGTATATGTAATAACAAAACAAAATGTAATAACAAATTATTTTTGATTTTTTTTTGGGGGGGGTAGTATGTTAGAGGGTTGCACCCCCTTTTATATTATTCAGCCGGCGCCCTTGTATACATGCATGGAACTCTTTGGATGAAAAATTCTGATGAGGTTACAGCAACCAATCAAATTTGATAAAATCACATAATATGATCCTTTACATACAAATAAGATCTAGATATCTTTGCTTGCCACAGTATAAAATTTATAACAGTTATAACGTTATTTTCCTATAATTTTTTCATTTATCCCTTATTTTAAGACAATTAAGGGCAGTACTTAACATAATTTTTTTAATATTGTTCTCGGTTATTATTCCCTTTATGATTTTTATTTTTCTTCAAAATTATTTGCTTAAAACTTAAGGTGCTGTTTCTCTATTGTAAGTTTAAAATACGGTAGCTACACAACGTTTTATGACGAAGATATATATATTTATCTTTTTACAATTATTAGACAATAAATAAATTATCGATATTTTTAATAATATTTTGAAATCGATATTTTGAAATAAAGGCAACCAAAAAACAAATAGTTACGTGCATGAAGTTTTAAAGACAATCGAGAAAAAATACTAAATTCTAGTTTCATCTATATAAAACTTCAGACTAAATCGGTAGAACCAAATCAGTATTATTGCAATAAAGATTTTTATGATATTCTCTTTAAATAATTTTTAATTTCGATGTGACAAGTTATTGTGATGTGATTAATTGTTAAAAACAAGAATGATTGCAAAGCAATCGTGGGCGGTTGGTGTGAGAAGCGAGAAAGAATGAAGGCCCCTACTTTTAAAGAAAAAGTGAAAACTTCAAAATACTGCAAATTTTCAGAGTTTTAGTAGTACAGTAAATTATTTAATTTATAAATTTAAATCAGATTAAGATAAAGAGATTTCACAAACATTTTTGTTCATCCCTTCTTTAAAAAAATTATTAATTTGTAAAATCTTCACGGAAACATTTTATATAATTCTCGGTGCAATATAATTCTATGTAATTCAGAAAAACTGTATGCAATTTCATATAATTCTTCAATGCATTACTTATAATATTAATTAAGTTACTTCTCTTCAATGACAGAATATCTAAATTGTTAGAAAATATCAACTCGCAAAATTTACTAGAATTTACAAAACGAAATAAGGATCCAAACGCATGCTGGAACTACTCAAACCCTCGTTAATGACGATACTGTGATGGTAAAGCTTATTTGCATAAAACAACCAAATGTTTATAAATTGACCACTCACTGCACAGATTAATAATAATTATTTTTTACTGCTACTACAGTATTTTTTTTTCGAAAAAAAATCAATCAAGATATATTTTTCAAGATCACCCATTGGTCTACATAAAAAATAGTTAAACACTTACAATGCTGGTAAAAAAATTACGAAATTTTTTTAACTTTTATGAAACTTCCGTTTGAAATTTGAAAAATTCTGGTTTATGACATAAATTGCTAATTTGTAATTTTCAATTGCAGCTTTATGGTTTAAAATGAATTGTGACATTAATAAAGGCGAAAAATATGATGAATGCTATTCATATTGTCCTCTCACATGCTCTAATTACAATAATGACGACATTGGCTGTCTAGAAAAGTGTGTTCCTGGATGCGGATGTCCAGCGGGAACAGTCCGAAGAGAGTTTGATGACCATTGTGTTGATCTTGATGAATGCTAAATCTGTATATTTGAAAAATTTTCATTAAAGCAACTGATGACTTGTTTTATTATTTATTACAGCCTTGAAATCGCCTTAAAATGCGCATAGGGATTCCTTTGAAAATGTACAAATTTCCATAATTCTTTCTTTAAAAATTATTTTTACAAGGAAATAAATTAATGCTTTTATAATAAACACAAATTGAAATCTTTATAATGATGATAAAATTATATATTAAATAGAAACATTTAGGTCTCCTGGGATCTACATGAATCAGTTATATATTTATTTTTGAATTCAGTACATGTTAAATTATTTTGTTGATTGAGGGAAATCTAAATATTAAAATTTTTATTGGTACTTTACATCTTAAACTTCATAGTTTCGAATATGAAAACTATACTTTTCTCCAAATTTAGGCTTTTAAAATTTGCATTTTTGATGCAAAAAAATTAAACTTTGGACTGAATAGGGAAGACAATTTGTTTTCAATTTGCCTAAACATTTTTAAGAAACTAAGTAACAATATTAACAACTATACGTCGATATTAAACGTTGAAGTTTGGGGGGGGGACGTTTTCGTGTTACATGTGGTTTAATAATGCTAAAAAATTTATGTAAAATTGAAGCATCAACTTATCAGCGAAAGAAATGTCTATTCTTAAATTAAATACTAGATCCGATTTAGATCTGCTCTCTCTCTCTTTCTCTCTCGTATGCCTGTT